CCAACTGGTCCTGACCTTGGGAAGAGAACTTGGCTGGACTGGGTGGAGTCAGGTCCGTCCTTCGCGTGCACGTTACCAATCCTTCATGTACATTATCTCTCCCAAACTCCTCCAACTCGCCCCCTCCCTGTTCAGATGATCCATGTAAACCGGCGCCCTGGAATGACACGGGTGCCCTGGTTTGGAGCCAGAGGAACACGTGTGGGGTAGATGATGCTAGTCCTTGCCCAGAGGCCCTTTGACTGGGCTGGCGCACCCGTCTCCTAACTGATGTGAGTTGCTGCTGAGGGCTCACTGCCATTACTTTCTCTGCAGAACTGCCCTCAGCCCACAAGGGGCCACTTTAACCAGAGGTGTTGGCCACATAAACCCTTTACCCACCCATCCCATCACCAGGCACAGCCAGCAGCCAGTGAATGACTGATCTGTGCAGCAAAACTCCCCTGGTCTCAAGGTGAGGTGAACCCTGTTCTCCGATTCAGTCCAGAGCTCTCTGCAGGACCAGGTTGGGGCTAGACTCCAGGCCCAAACCTGCTCGCTGCCCAGCTCCTTCCCCTTCTCCCACCCTTCTTCTTTCACTCCCTTCAGCAGGGCCCCCCAACTTCCTGGATCTAGTGGCTGATGATCTGAGGTGCAGCTTATATAATAATAACAGAAATAAGGTGCACAATAAATGTAATATGCTTGAATCGTCCTGAAGCCATTCCCCCTGCCCCAGACCCCTGCGGAAAAATCACCTTCCACGAGATCAGTCTCTGGTGCCGAAACGGTTGGGGACCACTGCCCTCAAAGACTTCTCTTGAAGGCTCTCTGACCTGCCCCCCAAATCTCTCATATCAGGCTCTGCTTGAAAGGCAATAAGTAAACTTGTGAGCTGCCTCCCACCTTGCAAATTCTATATACTGACACGAGGAGAGACCACAGAAGGTTCTATGTTTAGTGGCAGGAAAATTCTGGTGAAGAGAACTGAGGTTTCACCAGAGAGAAGCGTCCACTGAACAAACATTGATGAAGCTTTTGCTATGTGTCCAGCATCTGCGTAGCGCTGGGAGACCTGGTGAGGCGCAAGAGAGACGTCGTTCCTACCACCCAACACACACGCTTTAGATTAGGTCAAAGGTCTTCTTGACTGCCCCTCAGTCCCTTTTAAGGGCAGCCACAGGCAGAGATCAATTGAGTACATGGGACCCTGGAGATGCTTTTCATTTCTTTTTAATGTATATGTAACAGTTACGCCTGAGTTACAGAGGAAGCGCTTACAAGCAGGTAGTTAAAGCAAATGCCAGTTTCTCTTTCTAGTCTACTACTCCATATAGCTGAATAAATTATGGTGCGATTATACTTAAACACACAGCTTCGCGCCCACGCGGACACCCCATTCACACTCTCACGCACACACACTCACTCCCACATGGAGGAAAATGGCTGTGAGTCAAACACAGCAGCGACCAAGTTGCCGCTACTAGGAAGAAGGAATGATCTAGAGTGCTATGCAGATAGTTCCCAGGTCGGGATTGGCCTTATCGATATGCAGATGTCTTTGAGCATTTGAAGACAGTGGCTGGAGGACCCCATTTGGCCTCGGTTGTGGCGCCTCTGTGGGAAGGGAAGAAGGTCAGTCGGCCTCAAAAAGCATCCAACAGTGAAGTGCGCGTTGGGGGCTTGAGGAGAGTATCGACCTGAGAGAGGCCCCAGAGCATCGTGTCTTTTTCGGGCCATTGTGGAGTTTCCCAAGTTCCTGGATCCACATCTCTGAATGTGCCGCCTGCCCCATGTCCAACAACACAGGATTTCAGTGGTGTGATCATAGGCACAAATCTGCCATGTTCTCAAGCCATCACCAGATGGAAAATCTGACCTTCTCGTTTTCCTTCTGGGCAAACCTCTCTCTTGATTAGTCTCTCCTCTTTCATCCCCCCCATCTCTCTCCTCCTTCACATTCCTCTGGCAAAAGAACGGCAAATGTAAATCAAGGAAAATATGTGAGTAGAAAAAAACATAGCTTGGTTCTTACACATCACTTTTTTTTTCATAGCAAGAGAGAAATACCAAATGAAAAACAAAGCAATAAAAATGAAAGAACTCAACAAAGCCCGGAATGTATAATTTGAAACACACGATATGCAGATATATCCCTACAGATGGTCCCTGGCGCTAGCACGACACGCACTGTGGGGGTTTTCGTTCCTTTTTTTTTTTTTTTAGTATTTATATATATATTTATAAAAGTCAACTTCCTATAAACGAACAGCACATCACCACGTTTCCAACTAATGTACAATGAGTTCAGAAGAGGGGCCCCATAGGTAGGAGCAATAGCTACTTGTAAGAAGCTGGAGGAAGTATGTTTTATTTTGCTATGGACTCTATTTACAGGGCTGGAGCGGGACTGTTTCTGCAGCCTCGCCACTGGGATTCAGACCTTTCTCAGCCTGTGGTCAACCCACAAGAGTTGGAAGCTTTATAATTCTCATCCAGTGTCTGAGCTGCAAGCTGCCAACACCAGTCGGGATTTTACAGACTGAGTTGGTTAGACACATTAATACATTTAGGTTTTAGGGAAAAAACCTGTCAGGGTTTCTTTCTGAGGAGGGTGGGGCCCCTGGGGGAATAAGTCCCATTTTCTACCAAGATGGTTGCTTGGGAGAACTCCAAAGAAGATGGATGTAAGAAGAAATCATTTGGTTTACATCCATTTTGCCATCGGAGGCAGATATTTGGGATTGGTCCTAGCACTGGAATGTCACTTCCGGGGGCAGGGGGGAGCTGGGTAGTTTTGATGTCATCAGCCTGAGATCCCTGCTGCTCCTGGAAAACCTAGGATATAAGGAGATGCAGAGGATTGCTGAGACCAGCTTCCAGTGGGGAAGACTGATCATTCAAGGAATGTGGATGAAGGCTGAAGTTCAGCTTAAGGAAGAACTGCTTCCTGGCTATGACAGCTACAAAAACACGGACCGGGTCACCAACAGACAACACACATCCTTCCTTTTCCTCCAGAGTTTGAAGAGCCCAAAGTCTCCGCCTTGGATGCTCCCGTTGAAACTTTGGCTGAACTTGATGGGCCACACATGTCTGGGTGTCCACTGCTACCAAAGAGTCTGTCTGTCCTCAGTTAATCATAGGCTCCTCGAAAACCAGAGATACAGGCCACCTTGGTCATGGTCCAGGACAGGCCTGAGACTACGGAGTCTGAAGATGGGAAGTAGATGAGAGCGTTTGTCACAAAGGTGATGTCCACGCAGGAATGTGTCCTAGTATCTTGCCAACCCGGCTCCCCAGTAGTGAGGAACGCAGGTTGATTCTCAAAGCGGCAGCCTTTCCCTCTGGGAGTGTCCTGTGAGCTGAGGGCGAGGCATGAGTTGGGCAAAGAGGGGGCGCCGGGTGCCCGGGAGGGGCCAAGCAATCTGCTCTGGTCTGCGCAGATTCACTGCTGTGTCTCCCGTCTCAAGTGCCTTTGACCCAGCAGTACCTGATCCAGGTGATCCACGTGTAGATTGTGATGATGGTGATGAAGATGAATATAATTTTGATCAAGGGTGAAGGTGGTGAAAAGCTACAAGGGAGGCCGTAGTCAGGGGCTTGAGCCACTGTCCCGAAGGTCTCAACGTGTAAAGAGAAGGCAGCTGGGGAGAGCCACTGGAGTGGCCACGGAAGATGACCTTGCCCTCTTCTCCAGAACCTTTGGGGCCCCTCTCTGCCCCGGGGCCGTGGCTCAAAGACTGACCACATCTCCATGCCTGGGTGTGCTGGGTCAGAAGACAGAGCCATCTCAGCTGAGAATGGGTCAATACTGAAAGGCGCCAGTCTGGGTGGGACAGGGACATGCCGCTCCCGCCCCCCAAATGCCAAGGGGACTCTGTGGTCTTGTCTGTGGGGCAAGTAGTCCCTGATGATCCAAGAACCCTTCTCTAGAGCAGATGGAGGCACCCTTCCTAGAGGGCAGTGCATTCAGGGGATGGGCCCGGGTCTCTGAAGGAGGCTTTGTGAGAATCTGAAGCTCCACGGGGTGTGGACTTGGAAGGCAGACCACCGAAGCCTTTGGCAACCAAGCCTTTGCCGCCCACAAGCAGGGGAACCCCGGCTATGAAACCCTCCTCTGAGCCTGCCTCATCACCCACGTGTCCTCAGGACTTGATGTCCTCCCCCTGCCATCTGATTCAGCAAATGAGAAAACTGGAGGGTCTGTGTGCTCCCCAGACCCCACACGGGGTGGGCAAGGTTGGAACCGGGGAGTCAGTGTTAGAGCCTAAAGCTGCTTCCGAATGCTCGGCCCAGGTCCTGGGACCCTGGGCCAGCCCACTGCCAACAAGCCCCACCCGTGTGGCCCTGCCCCCCGACTAAGCCTCTTCCTGATCCTCCCAGTCCCCTTGCTTGGGCGAGATTTCCCCCCTCTACCCGGCAGAGGTGTGTGGAGAGGTCCTGAAGTCCTCAGAATTCGCGGATAAGTCCTGGGAGCACCCCAGGGCCGAGGCCCCCCCTCCTTTGCTAAGGAGGACGAGCTGTGGTTCAGGCCCTGAGCCAGAGGCCCACCGGGAGGGCTGGTTCCCAGCACTTCCGCCGAGATCAGCCCCACGGGCTCCACCTGTGTCCAGAGGACCCGCTGGCGCTGGGGTCAAAGGGATGCGGGACCTCATCCCAGGCAGCACCCTCCTTTGGCTGCCCAAGGTGCTCTGCTCAGGGTGAGCTTTGATCTCTGGGTCTGAGATGACAGAGCCCATGACAGAATTTGGCTGGGGCAAGACGGCGGGTTGATCCGTAGACCCTCCAGTGGGGAGAGGGAAGGGGCAGACTCCAAGGGGGTCACTCCAGGTCCCTAACCACAGGTGAATGGTGGGCAGGCTGCCTGTCTCCAGAGGGCTGGCCACAGGAAAGGAATGGACCCCTTCCTTCCCTGGCCTCCGGGAACCCCAGGGCGATGCAGGGACTGAGGATGGGAGGCTCGGGGACCAGTGAGGGTTAGGCTGGGGACTCGGGCTGGGGCAAGTCGCCCCAGGGCCCTAGTAAGCCTGGCCAGTTTCCACAGGCAGGAGTCCCAGCACAGCCGAGTGCTCCCCAAGCTTCATGCGACGCTGTGTGGACAGGCTCACGTTTTTGGCCAGGTAATCAACAGCAGCTGGGGAAAAAAAGAGAGACTCTTAGAAATTGAGGTTCCTTTTGCCTGTTAATTCAATCTGTCCCACATCTATTCATCCATCCATATATCCATCCATCCATCCATTTATCAATTCACCCATCCGTCCTTCTCTGCATCTACCCATCTCTTTTTCCATCCATCCATCCTCAACCATATCTTTATCCATCTATCTGTTGTCCATCCATTCATCAAGCTGCCCGTCCACTTTTTATCTGTCTATCCACCTATTCATCCACCCACCCACCTATCCATCAATTTCTTCATAAGACTCTTTCTCTCACTTCCTTTCCAGTCATTCATCAAATATTTGTTTGCCGAATGTTTACCCACTGTTTACCTAGCTCCCCGATGTGCTCTCTAGGAAAGTACATAGGGTATCCCATCATCTAGTGAAGAACTTTCCCTTTCCCCAACATGCCTCTACCCATCCCTGTTCTGAGGCACGTCCAGCGAGTCCCCTGGTGTCCAGGTAGTAGTGAGAGCAAGGTCCTTCTGCCTTTTCTGGACCCTAAGCCCAGCTCACGGCTGAGGCAGAGCAAGACCTCTTACTCAAAAATGAAGGGAGCTTCTGCCAGGGAGCTGAGGGGTTCATGCAGGAGGAAGGGCCAGGAGCCTGTAATGCAGGGAAACGAGACCTGCAGCCTTGCCAGTTCTGTCACCCAGAGGAGAGGGATGAGAGTCTATGGGCGTATATTCACGCGAGTGTGAACCGTGGGAACAAGCATCTCCTTGGAGTGATGGACACAAACAATACTTGCACTTGTATGTGTGCACAGACACGGGTGAGGTGTGTGCACCCGCGTGAGGTGAACAGTGGGAACACACGTAACTGCACAGGTGAGTTCTACCTCAGCCAGGTTCACGCATCGGGCGTGTGCAGGCATGCCCACTCGTGTCCTGCGCCGACTCTCCTCACCGTGCCCGCCTGGGGCTGCAGCAGAAACCATCCTGGATCAGACAGTTTGCCTGGCATGTGACCAAGGCCTGTTGAGGCAGAGACAGGCTGCCCCCTAAGCCAGAATTTGCAGCTCTGGCTGATCCTACCTTTGAGGACCCCCTCCGATCTGGAGGTGAGAGGAAGCTGGAGAGAGGGCTCCCCTCACATCCCCTGCCCACTGAGGGGCCCGGTAACACTCTCCATGCCTTCCCAAGGTTGGGGGGCCCTGCCTGGGGTGGGTGGGTGGAGCTGGCAGGTGACGGCATGGCTGGAGGGCGAATAGGGGCTGAGATGGGCTGTGTCCCAACTGAGCTCCAGGGGGCCCTACCGCCTGGGGCTCAAATGCCCAACATTCCAACTCTGCACCTGCCGGTGCTCGGTGTGTGACCCGGGGACGCACCACCTCACCCGCCGAGCCTCAGCTCCCTTGTAGGGTAACAGCACCAGCCTGGTGCTGGCTGGAAGGATGAGGGCTCCTGGGGCTGCGGCGCAGTGAGTGGGCACGCCCTGTGATGGGGGAAGAAGGGCAGGGACAGTGAAACAGGCAACTCAGGCTCCCCACTACCTCCGGCTCACCTGGCTCTGGGCAAAACACTTTGTCTCTCCAGCCCTGCTTCCGTGTCTGTAAAATGGGGAGAACAAATTCCAGCTTCCTCAAGGGCTGTTTTAAGGACCAAATGAGACAATGTGCTTTAAGGTGCCTGGCACAGGGGGATCCGGGCTCAGCTCCCTGGATTCCCATAGGATATACGCATGCCCTGGGGCCTTACTGGAGGCCTGGCCTCCATGTCCCTCAGCTTCCCACGCTGAGCCCCCAGGTGCTGCCTCTAAGCTTACTCAGCCTCCAGGCTCCTAGTTGGTGGAGCAGAGTGGTGGTGGCCCACCTTACCCTTGCCTAGGGTGTGGCCCCTACTGTCGGTGGGGGTAAGAAAACCTCCCATCTCTGGTTTCAGGGGGACCCGGTAGCTGTGACCACACCATCTCTACTACTTGGGGTCTGTCTTATTTGGGTCCCAGGTCTTGCCCAAGAGGAGGCCACATTGTCAGAGTGGTAACAGGAAGCGGGGGGCAGAGAAGAGTTAACATTTCCCCAGAGCTGGCTCTATGCCAGTCCCACGCTAAGCACTTTACATGCATCATCTCACTTAATTCCCCCAATACCTCTGTGAGGCTGGGATTATTACCATCCCCATTTCGCGGATGACAAAACCGAGGCCCTGCCCTGAGAGGCTGCATAACTTGAAAGATCCCAGGGTTCCTAAATTGTGGGGCCATAATTAAAATGCAGGCAGTCTGATGCTAGCTGCTAACCACCCCTGCCAGCTCCACGCAGCAACCTCCTGCAGAATCATCCCTGGTTCCCACACAGCCTTCAGAATGTATGGAACACTCTACAACCAAAGCCTGGAATGGCCCCATTCTCTACTCCAGGCAAGGCAAGGGACTTGTCTAAGGGCCAGCTCTTCCTGCAGGAGTGACAGAAAGGTCTGGCTTTGAATAACGATGATGGGAACTGCTAAATGCCAGGCCTATCTCATCTAATTCTTTCAACAGCTCACTGCTTTAGGTTACAGCTGTTCCCATTTTACAGATGTGGAGACTGAGGCTCAGGAAGAGCCACTGGCCCAGAGGCACATGTGAGCTGGAGGAGCCTGAGTTCACTCTGCTTGTGCCTCTGGCCACTCTGTCTCTTCCTCTCTGGCCTCTCTTTTTCACCAGCCATGGCCCTGCACGTGTAGGTACTTCCCCAGGCCCTGTTGTCAAGACAAACAAGGAAACAGCAAGAAACACCAAACTTTACGGACGGCTCAGCTAGCTTCAGGGGCACCCGTCATCCCTCAGAGGCGGCCTCTCCCCAGGGTGGGGCCGGGGTCCCGCGAGGGCAGGGCTGTGACCCTTCTCATTACAGCCTGTCAGTGGCCCTTCCTGTCCCTCTGTCTCTCCAAGCCTCCCCTCCTCTGCCTCGTGCCCGAGCCCGGGCTCTCAACACCTCAAATTAGATTAATCAGGAGTTGGCAGGAGAGGTGGTGGCGATGCCAACCAGTAAACAAATCTCAGCCGTCAGCGTCTCGTCAGCCGGCGGCCCCAGAGGAGGACCCTTCTAGACACAAATTCTTATTAGACTTGTCAGATCTATTAAAATTCTTTTCACACTTCTGCGTTCTATCAGCCCCATCATTAGTGCGGCCCTGGCCTCTGGGAACACCAGGGCCATATTAATCTGCCGTGCGCCCTGTCCCTGCCCCCCTGCCCCCACTCCCTTTAGGGACGGGAAGAGACAGACAGATGGACGGATGGTGGCAGGGAGCAGGGCAGGAGGGTGTGAAGTGTCCCTGGGAAGAGAGGACCAAGGAGAGGAGGTGGACTCTCCTGCTTTAGGGTTTGGTCCACCTGACCCCAGGAACGCCTGACAGTGATGCTCTCCACGGACTAAGGGGCGGCCCTGTGCACCTGGAGAGGTACTGTTCGGTGGTCGCAACCAACCTCTCTGGGATCCCCTTTCCTCATCTGCCCAGAGGGAATAACCCATGCCCTGCATCACGTGGCGGTGAGGATGGAGTGCCAGACCCACAGTAGATGCTCAAGAAACGATCACATCTCCTTTCTTTACATGCACATGTTGTAAAGTCATACCCTGAAGCTATTATAGACAGAGTAGTGAATACACCCAGAAATAAACCTCTGTCCATGCACAGATACATGTGAACTTGTGAACAGGACTCCACACCCAGAGCTAGTGTGCATCATTCCTCAACATCTTGCACAAGTTTGTGGTTTGACTCAAAGAGAACTAGGTTTGAATTTAGGAGACTTCACTTTCTGTGTGACCATGGGGAACGTTCCCAGCCCCTCTGAGCCTTAGCTTTGGCATCTGTAACCTGAGGACAATTAACCTGGGGGTTTTGAGGATTACACGAAACGAAGAACATGCATTTCACCCAGTGCCCAGTGGGCTAACTCACGCGCAGGACAGATGTGGGCAGATGGCAGCTGGCCCTGGGCATACACAGCATGGCTTAGAGCATGAGGCTGTCACACATGGACTATGGTGAATTCAGCCGCCCATGGACGTGAGGAGGCGGGCAGTGGGAATCCCACGTGTCCCTGGGCTGTCCCAGGATGTCACAGCTGAGGGGTATGGTACCATGGGAAAACAAGACAATGGAACCGAATCCCTGGGCCCCCATTTCACAGATGGCAAAACTGAGGCTCAGAGACACGGGTGACTTGCCCACATCAGGGTGGTGGAGGGGCAGACTCTCCCTCAGTCCTCTCCTAGTGGAGCCTCTGTGGGCTGGGTGGGGGAGAGTGGGGTCTGAGCCGGGCTCCCCTGGGGAAGGGCTGGAGGAGGTGGCCCAGGAGAAGCTCTGAGCAGCCCCTGGCGGAGCCGAGGGAGGCAGGGTGGGGCTGGAGGGGGATGACTCGGGGGGAGCTGGAGGTCGGAAGGGTGAGTGGGGTGGGGGCGAGGAGCAGGCAGGGAGGAAGCACGGCCAGCTCTTCCCCAGCGAAGGGGAACAGAGCTCCCTTCTCGCCTCCCGGGCCCTTTCCCTTCTGATCCCCCCTCCCTCGTGGCCCCCATGTTGACTTTGGGGTTAATTTTATTTCCGAGTTGGGCAGGCGCCCCTGGAGTCGGGCACGGGCTCCGGGTGTGACTAACGCCCGCCCCGGGCCGGGGCCGCGGCTGCCGCTGGAGCCACGCTGAACTCTTTATCAAGAGCATGTGTGCCCCGCTCCATGCCCGGGAACGCAGGCCGGGCCACGGGGTCATGCTGGCCCCTCTGCAGACACCGCTGCGCCCGCGCGCGCACCCAGCTCTCAGACATGCAGGCACACACACACACACACTCACACGGACACAGTTATACACACATCACGAGTCCACACCCAGATGCACACCTGGATACCAGTACACACGCTCAGGCATATCCATACCTGTTTGTACACTCTGCACACACATGGACTCCAAATAGACTCGCTCCAGCATACGTACACGGCAAACACACATGTACACATGTACACACAGCCACACACATCCCGTATTTACACACATGCACACATACACTCCACAGCACAGGTCACGCACACAGGCGCCCCCCCACACTGAGCCACATGAACACGTCTGAACACACATTTCCACACACATGCATATATGCTATGGCCACATATACTCACATGACCAAACGTGTACACGTGTTCACATACAAACCCACATGCAACCACACACACACAATATGCTCACTTATGCTCACACATTTAATCATGGGAACATATACACTGTGTCACTCACACATTCACGTATGCACACATATGCGTACTCACCTGGACACAAAATGTATGCACTAACACGGGTGTGCCAAAACACACCACACACACACACACACACACACACACACACACACTGCCATGTACTCCTGACGTGTGCATTTGCGCTCACCTAGACACACGTGTGAACACACGTGTCCACAGGGAGGAGGCCGTGAACACAGCTGGGAGGTGGAGGCCCACACAGCTGGCCTGCATTTAGCCGTGGAGGCGCGGCTGTGTGACGGGCGGGGGCGGGGGCAGGGTCAGGAGGCCGAGGTCGGGGGCCAGGCCGGGGTTGCGGAGGGGCAGCGAGGGCCCTGGGCTGGGAGGTCACACCCTGTTGCCACACGCCCTTCTGATTAGTTTGACACCAGCAGGTGACACCTTTGCTGGGGGCTGGGCAGGGGGCTGCGGGACTTCACCCCCACCCCGGCCGGCGGGACGGGCTCAGCGGCCGTCCCGTCCACCTGACAGCTGGGGTCGCCGGCCCAGTCTGAGGCCCACAGTCTCTGCTCCAGACCACAGGCCAAGAGCATGGCGTTCGGGGAGGGCACCAGAGCCCGGCTCACAGTCTGGGGAAACCAAAGCTGGGGTCGGGGCTCGGGGAGAGAACTTAAGACACAGCTCTGCCCTGTTGGGGGGGGGCGGGAGAAGGAGAAAGGGGCAGAGTCTGTCCCCTGGCTCCCCAGCACTCGGCATGTGCCCGGTGCAAGTGGGGAGCTGCATGTCACCTTCCGATCTGATTTGCTCTTAGATTTAAAACTGTAATTTGCTTTAATTTAGTGGTTGGGATGATCCCTTGGAGGAGGCAATGGCTATCCACTCCAGTGTTCCTGCCTGGAGAATTCCACGGACAGATGAGCCTGGTGGGCCACCGTCCCTGAGTCTCAAAGACTTGGACACGACTGAGCGACTATCATGATCACATTCACAGTGACTGAGAAATTTTTCAAAGTATTTGGAACAACTTGTGTGTGTAAACCTTCTTCCTCCAGTTGTAAATTTCACGAAACAAAGGCAGACCGAGTTTTTCCAGTGAAAACTTAGTAACTGAAGGAAAACGGTCTGGATTTCAAAAACAGTCTATGAAGAAAAGACTGTAAAAAAGTCTTGCTCATCATGTCATGTGGATTACGTATCGAAATGATCATCTTTTAGATATACTGGGTTACATAAGAAATGTTAGTAGAAATCATTCCACTTGTAAAAGGTGGCTAGGAGGAAATTTTAAATGATACTGGTGGCTCGTATGATGTTCCTACGGGACAGCGAGGCTCCGAGCCAAGAGGAGCATGAGTGCAGGGGTCCGGGGCTGTATCATCTCAGGACGGCAGTTCTGCCTTTCTGGGCCTCAGTTTCCTCACCTGTGAAATGGGCACCCCCACCCAACACCACCTCACAGTTCTCTACAAGCAAGTGGGAGGCCCTTGTGGGGGGCGTCGGGACAGGGAAGTAAGGGGGAGCCGGGGCCGCGGGCACTCACTCTGGCCGTATTGGCCGTACTGGTAGCCGGCCACGGGGTCCACACTGTAGCCAGTCGTGCTGTAGGTGGGCGGGCAGTAGGACTGGGAGGTGGGCAGGCTGTCTCCCGGCTTGATGGGGTCCGCCCGCTGGCTGCAGCTGGCTGAGATGGAGGCGGCGGAGTCCAGACCGCCGTGCAGCGGCGAGATGGAGAAGTCGGCCTGCGGCTGCGGCGGCACCGCGCTGGGGTTGCTCAGGATGCTCATCACCTGCGGGGAGAGGGTCAGGGTAGGGCGGGCGGGCCCCAGGGCGGACCCTGCAGAGGCTAGCAGGGTGCAGGGGTGATGCCGGGCTGGCCTTGGACAGACCTTCGCTGGAGTCTCTCCCTTGAGGTCCCTGCCGCCTTGAGATCCTCTGTGTACCTGGCTTACTTGCCTTTGTGGGGAAGACGGTTAGGGGTGTTTCCAGTTAAATGCTGGCCCAGGGAGCGTCCCTGCATTGAGAGCTCCGGGGGCAGGGTAGGCCCCGCTCCCCTCTCTGTTCCCGGCCCGAGGGGCACCCTGTGCTTGTCCGCTGAATGAATGAATACATACGTGCATGAATGAATGGACCAGCTAATTATGTCTCTTCCATCAGACAGGGAGCTCCCCTAGGAACTGCGTCTCCCTCGTCAGACTGGGATGCCCGCATCCTCCAACACAAAGGTTAAAGACTCTAGATCTGTCCAGCATCACCCCCCAGTCCTGTGCTAGGCCTGCTACACTCTCAGCTTTGAACTTCTGCGCCTACACGGCCAGTGGTTCCAAGTGCTTTCACAGATGTCTGTGACCATCACCCCCTTCTCCCCTTGGCAGGGTTTGGCAGACAGAAAGTCACTATCGGTGACGGCAAACCCAGAGCACACGGTGAGGCTCGTCTCTAGAAACTCAGCTGAGAGAACTTGCTGCTGGTTCATTGGTGTGCTCACTTATTCATTCAACAAACACACACGGATGATGACTAGGCTCCAAGCCTCAGGCCAGGCCCCGGGGCTCCAGAGGAGGAACAGCCCTGGTTCCTGTTTCTGACCTTGGCCAGGGGAGAGGGTCTGGGGGGTGGCAAGTTAGCGGCCGACCATCAGGATCTGGAGTGACGAGGGGCATGACGGAGGGGCTGTGGGAGGGCAGGAGGGCACGAGGGCGGCTCGGGGGTCCAGCTCTTGGAGAGAGGGTAGTGAAGGCGGCCGGGGAGGGGAGGGCAGGGGCCCGGAGTGGCCTGGCCAGTCCAGAGGCGAGCAGGGGGAGTGGAGGGAGAAGCAATCCTTCTGGGCCTGACCTGCCGGGCTGGGACCCTGGCGACCTCCTGGTAACGCCACCTTTCATGGGAGGGAGACCCCGGACCCAGGTGAGGCCCGCCCTGCTGACAGCCTGCTCTGCACGGAGCCGGAGGGCCTTGCTGCCACCCAGGCTGGGCACACAGTGGGCTCTCTGGTGACCCCACTCGCCCCCTGGGGAGAAAGCGGACTTGGTGCATCGGAACGGTGAACTTTTGGCGGACGGGACACTTGGTGAAAACTTTGACCTTCCCGGGTCTGACTCATCCTTGCTCCAGGTGCGAGGCATCACCCAGACAGAGGGCACCAATATAGAATCCTCAGGCCAGGGCCAGATCCAGAGCTCCTCCACGTGCTAACCCTTAGCCCCTACGACCACCTCTATCCTCAGAGCGTGGCCGGGAGGCCGAGACAGGCTCTGCATGTGGGACGTGCTCAGCCATCAGCGGCCCCAGATCCTCTAACCCTCCTTATCTTTCCCTCCTCTTAGCAACGGACTCAGTGTGACTCTCCAGTGCAGAGCCCCCCAGAGACGTGTGGGGCGGAGTCATGACACCCATTTCTCAGATGGAGAAACCGAGGCCCACCCAGAGCTGCATCTTCCCCAGATCTCACAGTGGGTGTGCCAGGGCCTGACCCCTCTAGCCTGATGATGTTAAGTCTGACTCTCGAGGATGGGTTTTAGACATGTGACCACGGTAGAGGTTCTCACTCCAGATGTGGGCTTCCTGGGGGTGTGGGGTGGGATCCCAGACCCCCGGGGGGCCTGGCTCCTCAAGAATGCCATGAGCACAGCCTCCCCTGACTCTCCCCGCAATGCACCCAGCACGTGCCTCTCAGCCTTGGGGGTCACCCCTCCTCTGTCCTTTCTTTCCTCACCCCACCCGCAGAGCCAAAGCCAAGGACACAAGGTCTACTGTGGCTGGACTTTGTCTCCACCACAGCTGGTGAGGTTTGGGTGGGATTTTGCAGGGTATCAACCCAATGAGATGCAAAAACACAGGTGGAGCTGGGTCTGTTGTTTTCTGACTGTTGCGCTGGGGTCCTGGGCCTGAGGAATTTGCTGGGTGTGTGTCTTGGGTGGTTTGGGGGCGCACTCAGGAATCTAACACTGCCCTGGGGTGAGGAGACCTGATTCTCTTCCAGGTTGCCTGTCAGTTTCCCAATCGAGATCTCGCTTCCATCTAAATTAAGAAAATCACCCTCCCTCCCATTGCCTACCCCGTATAAGCACAAACACTGCTCCTCCTTCAAGGAGCCCTGGCCCCAAGAACAAACTTAGAGGCTCAGGGAAAACACACAGGTCCCATTTCCCTTTCTTTGAAAGGATCGTTGTGGGGTGGGAAGCCTCTTGTGAGGGTTTGTCAGTTCTGATGAGCCTCTGGTATAATCCTTCTCTTTACATATCACCAAGATGCCAGGCCCAGCAAGGATGGGATGGAGGAGACAAGTGGGGAGGTATTTGGGGAGAGAAGAAGGATGCTTTGGAGGACAGGGAGGTGTGCATAGATCCATACTCACCCTGCAAGGCAGAGACCTGCAGACAACCGCCCCAACAAATCTGATTACATTGCTCAAGAATTATCCATGGCTCTTTGGTACCTCCCAGATGAACAGGGCAAAGCTTCGTGTGATTGGACCTCCACCTCCATGTCCCAATTCCCCACACTCCTTCCTACCTTGCACTTTATGTCCCGGCTGTCCCAAACCAGAGAGTGTTTCCTGAAGACATCCTTCCTTCATTCATTCACTTATTCATTCATAAGACACTCACAAAGTGTTACTATATGCCAAGCTAGACACAGGGCTCAGCTGTGAGCTCTTTGAGGGCAGAATGGAACTGTGTTTCGTCTGTCATTGCAGCCCCCGTGTCTATGCTGTACCTCCTACAAACTATAAGCTCAGAAAATCCTGTCAAATACATGCATGTTCACTTAACAAATATTTATTGAGCACCTAATATGTGTGAGATGCTGCACCAGGGATTGAAATACAGTAATGAAGAGTAAAGCTCCATGACCTCCAGGAGCTGCTAGTCAAATGCAGGAAGATGAAAACAAACAATATAATTTCCAATACTGATCAGTGCTAAGGAAGAAAGACAAAGAATGTGGAGTAGTCAGGGAAGACGTTGCTAGCAAGACCAGAAAAAATCAGGCGGGGGAAGACAGAACAGAGTGCTGTCCAGGCAGAAGAGCCAGCAAGTGCGAAGGCTGGAACACGCCTAGCAGGTCTGAGACACAGCAAGAAGGTCAATGCTAACCTTCCTGGAACGCTTTGTGAGAAGGTGTTCACGTGGTGCCCAGTGGCTTGGGGGGCTTGGACCCTGCGCCATTAACAGACAGCTCAGAATCCGCTCAGGCCCAGGGAGCTTGCCCTGTAATGGGATTTGCTCAGTGGGATCTGCCCTGCAACATCAAATCAGGTCCACATCTGGGCTGGGTGTCAGTGGCGGGTGTGGAGCATCTGCTTGCTCTCTCCCAGGGTGCCCGGAAGTCTGGGGATCAGAGGGCTTCGCCTGCGTCCAGTCTCCTGTCTCAAGGTATGACCACTTCCAAGATGATGGGGTCAGACCCCTCTAAAGAGAGGTGGAGCATGGAATGACTTCTCTGGCAAATGAGTTGTCTTACCCTCATTCTGCAGATGGGGAAATCAAGGTACAGGGAATGTGAAAAGGAGTGCCCAAGATCGCACCGCCAGGAAGTGGCAGAGCTGGGACTTGAACCTGTGTCTCCCCACCCCTCGCTGTGATCCCTCCCCACGGCAAGCTGAGCCGGAGAGCATGGGGAGAGAGGCCTGTGGCAGCCCTGCAGGCCCACATGGCTCCCGCCAGCCTCGGGAAGGCCCATGGGCCTCCGCGGGTGCCCCTTCACCCCGGGAAGCAGGAAGCGTTGGCCCACAGTTAGGGGCCCAGCCAGAGGTCTGGGGCCTGCAAACTTTTGAACTTGAGGAAGTCCTGATCTGATGCGGTAATTGCCCCCCTCAAGAATGCTAAGGCCTCTCCCCCAGTGGGTTTTACTTTTTTCCCAGTGACCTTGCTTTCACTAATGTATTACTTCTTGGTACCTTACCGTTACTAACTCAAAATCAATACCGACCTCCACATCTGTAAGGTTTTATCTGAAGGCAGATCTCTGGGCTGTCCGTCAGGCTGAGTGACAGCCGTCCCTTCCTCCCACCCCCCGACCCCCCCCTCTGGCTCCCCCTGCTCTAAATCAGTCCCAGCCTCCACCGGACTAAATCAATGAGGGGCCGGCCTCACCTCCCCGCGCCCCCACCTTCCGCCCGCTGGGGAGAGGCTTGTAGGTTTTGGGGGGTGGGGGCCACGGGGACCCAGCAGCAGCCCCCCTTCCACATCCTCTGCTCACCGCCCCCTCCCCGGGGACCTGCCGGCACTCCCCTACTTTAAAAGAAGGGGATGGGAAAATGTAATTAATTCCCTCCGTTCCTGAGCTGGCCCCGAGGGCCTGGGACCGGGGAGGCTGAGCTGTGAGATCTGCACCCTCTGTGATAACCGAACGTGGCTTTGGGAGCGAGGCTGCAATTAGAAGGGCGATCACCATCGTGGGCGCTCCATGGCCCGGCTCGGGGTGGGCGAGTGGGGGCTGTGGCAGGATGCAGGAGGGCAGGGAGGGGCAGGGGCCGAGGTGCGTGTGGGCAGGACGGCGGACCTGGAGGTGAAACTGGGGCTGGAACGACGCCAAGGACCACAGGACCAGCAACCAGGCAGTAGGTCGAGAGCCCCACCGTGTCCACGCCAGAAGGAGACCCTGAGGCCCGAGGCCCTGGCAGACAGCAGTTTCACCAAGGGCACTTGGCCATGCAGGGCTCTGAGGGGTCTCCCTGCAGCACCGGGAGGCCAGGATGTCTGCATGAGCATCCACGCTCTACTGCTGACTAGTTCTGACCCTGGGCAATTTCTGTAACCTTCCGTACCTCAGTTTTCTCATCTGTATA